CCCCAAAACCCCAAAACCCCAAAACCCCAAAACCCCAAAACCCCTTATAAGTTAATAAAAATTGAAAAATGAATGTTTGAATTGCAAGGAAATCTGCTAAAAAGACATGCCAGATGTCAAGTCTTGAACGTCAAAGGAACCCTTGAATAAAGCATAGTGAAAGCTTCAAGGGACTTAAATAAGAATAGTAAGCATTTTTGTATAAATTCATAGAGATTGTGCCTCTAAACGAGTTATTGTAAGTCTTCCTAGAAAATTGCAATTGATATATTAGCAATTACAGCTTATTATAACTTGAGGGATATATTTATTCAAGCATTCTAACTCAGAATAAACATTTATTAGCTGAAATATGTATAATCTTGCGGTTCTGTTATGATCTGGATTTTAGTAAGCGATTTAATCCTACAAACTCATCATCAAGAGCTTCTAATCAATGAGGTATGAAAAGAATTGGGAGTGAGAAGCAATACAGAGTAAGTTTAGAGATTACCATGCCTTTTTAGGCAATTTTATAACTGCTATTATAAAAATTATTTCAGATTTTATCCTTTTCTATAAATTATGATTGCTAATAAGTAAAAATTCTAAAATACCAACGCTCAAAACTTTACTACCTTTGTGCTAAATTAAATTAGCTAAAATATTTCACAGATATATTAATTTAGAAATTGAGCATTAGCAAATTTGCTTACAAGAGCCATAAGCCAAGAATAAACCAGCACTTACCTCAGAATTATGCACTTCACAGCAGAGGGCTAAAGAAAAGCCAGAAGCCTCCTGTTAACCCATCTTTTAACTTTATCATTGCGGTATCAAGATTATTAACTCTATTTAGAAGAAGGTAGTGAACAAGGAGCTAAATTCTCCTGAATCCTCTAGTGACGAATTTGATTCATTGTACAATCTATATCTAATATTTAGGAAAGCGAAGTTCTTCAACGAAGTCATCTCTCGCAAGATGCTTGATAATGTAAGCCATCGCTTCTCATCTTTAGGATTTCAAAAAATCACTTAATTTTTACCATCCCCACAATAGGACAAGGTGAGATTTAGAAAATAATTCTAGACTTTTGGAGAAACAGGAGTCCTTAAAAAGCTTAAAATGCTCGAAAAGGTCAAAAAGTAGACTTGTTTAACTCACTGTATAGTTTTAACTTGACCTTCAAGCCCAACAAGTTTCCATAAAAACTCTTCCCTTGTTCTTACAAAAGACTCCAGATGTAACACTCCCCTCTCCATAAACCAAATCTCCTTAAAATAAGTACCTTATTCCTCCAACTCCTAGAAAAATTCCCAAACCCCTTAAGAAAATGAAGATCATTAAACTTAAAAATCTGACTACAAATCCATCAATCAGCAGTAAGCCTTGGCTTAGCCAAGCCTAGTGATGGTTTAGACCTGAGTAATTTAAGAAGGAAGGTCAAGCTCTTTGGAACAGTAAGGAGGTTTTAGTTTGAGTGGTTATTAGTATTTTTTTATTGGTAAAATTAGATTATCTACTGTGGTCTATATTTAACCAAAATGGTAGAAACCTATTTTGAAGAAGAATAAGGCTCTACAAGCTGAAATTTCAACGTAAGTGAAGATCTTTGGGGGTTAGGTGGTGGTTATGTGAATAAAGGAAGCTGAAATTTTTTGGGTTAATTGTGATTTTATAGGCTGAATTGCAAGCAAGACTATTTTGACAATAAGAATTTGTATAACAGAAGTAATTTTTCTTTGAGAGAAGGAAGGTATAGTACTTTAAGAACAAATGATTAACTATTCAATTTAATTCGGCTAAAATTCTTCAAAGCTCTAAATGATCTAAATTTTCATGCAAATTTGCTGTAATTTTTCATGCTTCACTACTCCAGACGCCTCTTAAGGATCTTCATTTCTTAAAAATTATTTTTAGCTTCCAAAATCTATACTTAACAGATTAGCTCTAATTTTAGCTTGTAACAGATCTGGGCAATGACCATGAACAATGTCTCCAATATGCTAGTTTAGGATTAAGAATGTAAAAACATTAAATTTAAATTTTCAAGATAGGCTAAATAATTTAGTGAAGATTTGGAGGGGTGGAATGGAAATGTTTCAAAGGAAGAAAAATTTAGGGAGTATTGAATACTATTCTTGATTTTTTTGGAAAAAGTAAAGTTCTGATAGCTTAAATTGCTAACTCCCTAAGATTATAAATTAAATTTACTTCATTTCTATTAGAAGAAACTATCAAAGCACACCCACCTTCAACACCACTCCCATAAATCCCCACCCTCTTCCCTCATTCCTCCCCAAAAGTCGCACTCAAATCCCCCAAAATCCCAAAACAACTTAAAAACTTACCCTTTTCACTATAATACCATGCACAAATTTCTACTAAGCTCGAAGATATCATCCCCAGTGAAATTTAGAACTGACTCCTATATGAATGTCATAAAAAATAGATATTAGTCTTTGAAGTAAGGACAGGGTGAAGAAGAGATTTGGGCGTAGGGGTGAGACATCTTAGATGTTAAACTGATATTATTTTCAATAGAGATATTAAAATATGGGGTTTTGGGGTTTTGGGGTTTTGGGGTTTTGGGG